TGTATATTTTGGATAGTATTATAACACCTTGTTGAAATATGATATACAAATATTTTCCCATTTGAGGTAAATATCTTTTGCTGTGCAGAAGATTTTTAGTTTGAAGTAGCCCCATTTGTTTGTGTTTCCCAATGAAATTCATGATGCCAATGTCAGGGAGTGAGTTGCCTATGTTTTCTCCTACGTATTTTATGGTTTCAGGTCTTAACAATCTGAGTCTTTATAAATTATGAGCTTTTGATGGACTTGCTTAGAACAAAAATGTAGATTTTACATAAAGAAGGTAGTTTGTTCATTTTGTAATAATTGAGGAGCAAGAAAATTAATTGTAGAAATGTCAGAAAAGTCATTTTGTGTATTATTTTTCTGATTCTATCCATAAGACATCTTGGTCTGGAAGAATCTCCTTTCATACTGACATCATATTGCCATAGTGCAAATTTCCAGTTTTCTCCCAATATTTATCCACATGCTTGCTAGCACATACAGTAAGAGAGATGAATGTCACTCAGGTTTGTAGGATTTAAGACAATGACCATTGTTTGTTTTTGTTTTTGTTTTGACAGGAGGCATTTGACTGCAAGAATCTGGGTTCAGAACATTATTAAGCAATATCACATTATTGATTAGCCAAAAATGGCATGAAGCTCTTGTAGATATAATCTTTTTGTCACCATCCCTATGCATCATTGAGACTTTCAATGGTGGTTTTTGGTTTTCTTTTATTTTGCTGGCTTTTGGTGTGATTGCACACATTTTACTTTGTACCAGATGATATAAGGAAGTTCGTGATTATACATTTCATGGACCTGTTGTTAGAATACTTTTAACCAGGCCTCCCTGGTGGCACAAGGGGTTAAAATGCAACCTATGAAGCAATCGCTGCACTAGTTTAATCCCCAGCCAGCCGGGGAGCAACCCACATGGCACAGCAGACCTCTCCTGCCTCGCCGGCTGCTCCCCTCAGCAGTGTATTTCGGTCATTCTACCTGTTCCATGCCCCACTCTGTTTCTGGTGAATCCTCCCAACCCCCATACCTCTGGCCTGTACCCTAGTTCTTGTATGCATAAATAAATAAATCTTTAAAAAAATTAGAATACTTTTAACCTTACTTAAGCTTATTAATTGTATGCCAATGCTAAATTACTATTAGTATTGGGCCTCCCCAGTGGCGCAGTGGTTGAGCGCTGGGTTGCGAAGCTGCCCGTGGCCTCTGCGGCGCCGGTTCGATCCCCGGCTGCTCCCTGGCCACCGGCGGAGGATCCCACATGGCACGCAGACCTCTCCTGCCGCCCGCTGCTCCCCTCAGCAGTGTACTTCGGTCCTTCTGCCTGCTCTGGTCCCTGCTCTGGCTCTGGTGAATTCTCTCACCCTCCCGCGCTTCTGACTGTACCCAGTGCATGTATAAACAAAAACAAACAAACAAACAAAATAAATAAATAAAACATGCCTCTATAAAAAAAAAATAAAAAAAATAAAAAATAAATAAATAAATTACTATTAGTATTAATACTAAAATGATATAATGATACTACTATTACCAATCACTTGTTATTGCCTTAAATGAGCCACACTCTGTTCTAAGCAATTTATCATTTGATAACACAGGAAAACGGGTTTTCACCAGAAAGTGCTTTCTGACTAGTCTTTGTTCTCCTATGAGGTGGTTTCACCAGCATATTATGACTCCTGAAATTCAACCATTAAGGAATCAATTTAAAGGGCTTAAACTGGACACCAGAATCGCTTAGATGCTGTCTGTGTATTTGAGCTATTGTCTGAACTACTGATTAACCCTTCTATACTTTATAACACCAGAGATGAACTGCACAGTCTTTACCTCTCCCTTGCAGATACTTCATACTCAGTTCTGAGAACAGATGGCATTACAGGGAAATGAGAAGCCAGAGGGAACAGGGAAGAAGGGTTTCCTAATTCCATTTTAAAACTGCTCTGTGTAAAGATTGTCCTGACAATTGCCTCCACTTTGGAGCAGCACTTGATTCTCCTTTTAGGTTTTTCACATATTACCAGAACTAGCCTTCTCATGGCCCAGGCAATGTCCCCTTCTTTAAGGATTTGGGCCCAGCTTTTTGGGACTCTTCCCCATGATGATAATCTAAACACCTCTCTTTTTTCCCCTCCAGCTCTAAGGATAGGTGTTGTTTCTCTATCTGAATTGTACTTTATAACAGGAGATTCTGTGATGTATCTGGTGATGGACATATCTTTAATGAAGTCATTACCTTTCCAACAGGAAATGATATACTAGTAATTCATAATATGAAGTCATGGAACAATTAATTAAAAGAACCACTTCTTACTGGTTGTGATGAAGTATCCTGAGGATCAAATGCCTTCCACCATACTTACTATAGTAGTCATGATGAGTACAAGGGTTGTGGGTGGGATGGCCTATTTTGACTGCATGAAGAATCTACAGACAAAATGTATAAGCTTTAAATTCTCTATGCAAGTAATAGAGAACAAAAGTACTTCTATGATATTCTTAAAATACTCCCATTTCTTCTTATTGTAGGGCTGGTTTCACTTAAGAAGCAGATGCATGTTTTAATCATGCTCATTGGTGAAATACAATTTAATCAAAACCATACATGACTCATTTCTCTAATGAAAAAGTCTAGACAGTAATTGAAGAGGAAATTGAAGTTGGAACTTGGCAGGTGAAATAGTAGATTTGGGCAGTGCTGAAAATCTTAGAACCCCAAGACTATCTAAGATTTTTCATAATAGTGGAAGCAATCTGCTTTCTGGGATGTTAGAAGATTATCTTGCTCTTGGATTCAGACCCGTTAGAAATTCTGCTGCTAAAGAATTTCATATCATCCAGCTAAGATGCTGACTGAGAGAAAGAGAGTCGAAGTAGAAGGATATGCTTTATAGCAATGAGAATGAATCACAGAATCGGCGACTACAGAAGCTTTGCCTGCTTTATTTCTTGTTTGCTCTTATTTTCATAGAGATAAGTATAGCTCTATCTCTGTGTAAAGATCACATAAAACACCACAAGAAGTCCAGTTAATCAAAGAAGTAAATTAAATCAGTTATTAAGCATTTATCTATTTGCTCCAAATCTAAATGTCTGTGCTCTCTCTTGTGATATTTATATGCAAAAGGTATAATCATCTGAGATGTCATATGAGATTATCCTGAGAAAATTATATGCCTGTAAGCATCATAAAGTGAACAAGATATGGATTCACATTGCCTCTGTGTGTCTCTCAGCTTCATCACCTGTTTATTCTGAACAATATTATTCATCTGTTCCATGCCTTAGTTTCTCTTTAAAAAGAGAAAACAATAGTGTATACTTCATGAGTTGTGAGGAAAATTAAAATGTAACAAAGCTTATGATTATCATAAGCCTAGAATTTAATTATTTAATGCAGTCACTAAAACATAATGTACTTACTAATTTAATATACTGTATAATTAGATGAAATTAAAATAGAAAATATAATATTAATGAAACAAACACAAACTACTCAAAATGGAAGGACCTTTAGAGGATGTCTAATCCAGAATAGAATTAAGTCTCCCAGATATGAAGAGCTTTAGTCATGGAACTAATTCACTAATAAGGAAATAGATGGAGATATCTCTGTTCACCCTTGGTAGAATGTTATCTGAGTTAAATTCCAAGTTGTTTAGTTGTGGGATTTTTTTTCCTTTTCCTGGAAAAACAAAAGAGTAGTAGGACTAAAATAATTCTTTCTAAGCTCAGAACTCAGCAGTCTCTTGATGATGTTTAAGAGTTAGTAACACTAAAAAATGCATTTGCCATATGACCCACCAATTCCGTTCCTAGGGATCTTCCCAAAAACACTAAAGCACTAATTCAAAAGGAAATCTGCACTCCTATGTTTATAGCAGCACTATTTATAATAGTCAAGATATGGAAACAACCTAAAAGCCCCAGAAAAGATGAGTGAATCTAGAAGATGTGCTACACACAAACAATGAGATACTACTCAGTGATCAAAAAAGATAATGTCATGCCATTTGTGGCAACATAGAGGGAACTGGAAGGGATTATTATAAGTGCAGTGAACTGGAAGGAGAAAGATAAATTCCAGATGGTTTCACTTATATGTGAAATATAGAGAAGACAAACAAAAGGTCAAAGACAAGCTTTAAAACTGAACCTGAAAGTAAGCATTCAGGAGGGGAGAGAGAAATTAAGGGAGAGGGGAAAGAGAGAAGATATAGGGAAGGGAGAACAGAATGGCCTGTGATTAGGACTATTGGTGCTTTGTTGGTGGGAAAACTATGATGGCCACACCTGAGTGGAGAAATCCTGTATTGTTAAAAAAAAATTAACAAGGATGTTTAATCAATTAATCAATAAGAGATCAGGAAAAAAGACTCAGCAACAGATAACAAGGAATTGATTGATTTTGACAAACAATATCATGTGCTTCCTTTTACTCCCTGTCACTCCTGTGACAATTTATTGTGGGAGAAACATAAAGTTTACTATCAGGAAGAATTGAAATGTAGTAGTAGCTTTATTGAGACATAATTGACAAAACTATACGATATTAAAGTGTTCAATGTAATATTTTGATACACACACACACACACACAGCCCTTGTGAAGGGATTCCCATCATCAAATTAACACATCTTTTACTTTTGATATTTACTTTTTTATTTCTTTGTAACAACCTAAATATTCTACTCTTATCAAATTTCAGTTAAGTAATACAATATTATCAACAATGGTCACCGTACTGTACATTAGAACTTCATACTTTATTCATCTTATAACTGAAAGTTTGTTGAAGACAGAAAAGAAGCATCAATTCTTTGAATGCTAACTCAAGTCTCATTTTAAAGCAACGTGTCTGAGTCCAGCTGTCCCATATCTTTACCTCTGAGAATCATCAGGGATGTTAACCCTGTGTTAGAGGTGACCACTCCATGCCTCTGCACTCAAAGAAGCTCTTCTTAGCTTGAGGAAACAGATCCAGGGATATTGTTTATTCTTGTGTTGTTTAGTGGAATACTTAGAAAGATGGAAACCACAGGCTATAACCACAGTTATCCTCTACATAGCTTCCTATAATCACTGTTGTTTTCTACAACTTTATGGAATTATGAGCATATTATTTTCAAAGGAGAACTTAACAAGATAAAACAACACTGCATTGCAGTCCAACTGAAGCTATGTACATATGCATACATAATTTATGATCTCTGTTTATTTCATATGTGTACAAACACCATACTCCATTGAGGTAAAAAAGCACAGCAAGGTTAAAACCAAATGGCTAAGCTCAATACAAGCTGAAAGCCATTTTACTAGCATAAAGGCCTCCAACATGCTGCTTTGAAGCGATGGGTAAATATTTAGACTATTTATATGCTACTGTCTTGAAAACTAAGCCAAAATAAACATTTTTAAGGCAACCTTTGAAAGTGTCAGCATTATTATTTTATCTACTTTATACTAAGTGCCACTCACAGTGACAATTAAAAACATTGAACAATGAAGGACAATCATCTTGAAGGCAAATTCATGTTGAATTCATCTTATCTTTATATACAGTTTTCTCTATAATGTACAGATAAGTCATATTTTTCAGCAACCTTTAACTTTCAATTTTGAGGAGAAATGCTACGCTTTTTGGCCCATATGTACTTACTTAAATTTATACATTACAGAGTTTGAATTCTGATTTCATGTTCATAAAATCATCTACACAAGTCTCAGTGTTATTTAGAAAGAATGCAGAAAATAGGATTTATAGAATACATTTTTACTTGCCTGCAAATCATTCAACACTGCCACTCACTTCCATTGTATCTTTGGAAAGGTAAACTACCCAGTACACAAGATTGAATCCTGCAAATGCAACTGGGAAGAGAATCCGGGAATACTGGTCTATTTTACTGGTGCCTCCAAAGTCTGGAGAGAGTGGTGGGGGTGTGAGAGGTGTTGATTCCAAAAGGGGAGCTCTGGTGAGGACTTTGCTGGTCTCACAGGATGGAACTATTGGCAAGGTCAGAGAGGTGATTCTTTTCTTCAGATGGTACTTGGAATCAGGGTGCTGTGGAAAAAGACAAATATTCAGCCTAGATAAAAGAATAGAGACCTCTTCTTTAGTCATTTATTTTTTAATCATTAATAGAAATTCATTGACTCTTTATTTACTATGTAAGATTAAATATGAGCAGATCGTTAATAGCATTTGATGGCGTTACTTTTCCAAGAAAGGAATACAATGTAATTTTAAAAATTGATTCATTTCCATCCAACATCCTATAATTTAATATACCAGTGATTGAAGCTAAGTAAGTCCCACATGGCAGAAACTGTGCTGAACACTGTAGCTTCAGGAGATGAGTCAGGTTGCAGAGGTGTATCTGCCTCCTAGTTATGCATAAACCTAAGAGACACTGAGTGAGGTTAATGAGCGGGGACTTCAACTTGGAATGTGTGAACTGTTAGTTAATATTGAAAAATAACAGCTCAACTGATAATCTCCTAGACCCATCCCCAGCCTACATTCTCCCCTTCACAAACTTGTAAATTTTAACTGATATAACAAGAACAAAAAAAAAAAAAAAGAGGGAACTCATGTATGTCAAAGCCAGTGACAAAATATAAATATTCTTGAATTGTGTGTGATGCCTGTTCATGCCTTGAACTACAAATGCCTCTTATCCCAGGTCTATGTTGAAAGGTTTCCACTTCCCATTCTCTGTTCATCTCACTCCATCTGAAATCACCAAAATGTAGTTCCTTATCTGATTTCAGAATTGCTGTTATGTTCTTTCCTATCATTAGATTTTCTATTCCACTGAAATCACAAAACAGCCAACTGTAGCTTTTAAAAGGGTAGTTCACACATTTGATAGGTGAGAGGGCTAAGGTCCAGATAGTGGAAATGCCTCGCCGTGGTCAAAGGGCCCATAATAAACTGTGTTGGTAAATTCCAAGGCTGGATTCCTCCAATGTTTTCTCACCCTCTGAAATATGGGGCCCAGCTTAGAGACTCTGTTTGGTTTAGATCCTCTCCTACAGTTAGAGTCTAGGGGTCCTTTCTCTGAGTCTTTTCTTGTCTACATTCTGTAATAGTCACTCTCTTTGTAGTCAGCTGAGCTTGCTGGGTCTCTGCCTTCAGACTCTCACTGTACATGTTCCCTACTCTTGTAAAACCGCCTGGTTTCCTCCCTGCCAGCAAAATCACCACTTTGCTGCCTGGCAGGGCATGTCACTCATGTGGCAGATCCCCATGGCTTTAGCCAGCAACCCCACGGCTACAGGATGAGGCAGCTGCCACCCCTTTGCGGGTTGAGCCACAGGACCAGAATGACCCACTGATGTGGTGACATTTGGACTGCAGGAAACAACAGCCCCATGAACCTCTTCTCTCTCTCTCTCTTTCTGTATTCCCATCCTGATTTGTGCTGTTGGATATAACAGTTTCTGAGTATCTCAATGGTCATCCTAGAGGGAACAAGCCCAAGGTACTTTGCTGGGCCAGAGAAAAACCTGTTTCTTCACCAAAATAAAACAATGATACATGTAGTCAAGTCTGAGATGACATGACCAGATGAATTTCAAGTAAAGAATATCTTTTATTGTTTTTCTATTGGCCCAATCCTAGGCTAGGCACTCTGGGAAGAATTAAATTGCAGGTCTTTGAGCTCTGAGGGAGTTAAAAATAGTAGAAAGTTCAGTCTGCTGATCTTGGACAAGAGAGAAATTATACTTTCTATTAAAAATATGTGCCAGCAGAGGATGACTGTGTCTACGGCCACCAGACTGAGTGAAGAGAGCTGGAGTATGGTACTTTGATTCAAGAGTGGCACTCTCCCTTTCTTAGAGAAAAGACTTCACACCATTTCCAAGACTTTTTCTATTATGTTCTCAGACTCAAATTTGGACTTTTATCCATTAAATATGCTATGAAAATATTCTCTACTTAAGAGAGAAGCATGTGCCATTGTACCATCCTCTAAAAAGAATTCTCCTCCTCCCAGAAAGCTGGAACACTGAAATTGTGTTATCTAATGTAATGTCTAAGGGCACATCTTTAGAGCAGATTTTCATTCTAGACTCATCTTGACTTTTAATGGCATGCATTGATTATATGAAACCTGTGTTGCTTCCTTTGTTAGGGAGGAAGAAGACAGCCATGAAAAAGTTCAATGAGATGAAAAAGTGATTGAAAAATGTAATCTACCATAAAAATGAAAGGCAATGTTTTATCTCCCCCTCTTCTTTGGAAATGGGGGGAAGTTATTTGTCAATCTGTAGGCATTGTCACATAGTCACAAATGATTCAGTGAGAATTGCCAAATAACCCTTGTCCAGAGTGAAGCAACATCATTTAGGCCCAAACAACATGAAAAATGGAAGCACTGTAGTGGCAGCCTGGAATCAAAGGCCCCTTACAATAGGATTTCCCGTCTCACCTACTTCCCCCAAACACTCCCTTTGAGGGGTTGCTGAGGTTGTTCCTAATGGGACAACTGGGTCAGAAGGCCCTAGATCACAATTCTTGCTCTCTATTCACCTGTTGTTTGAGATAGAAAATGTAATATTTTCATGTTACACGTATATATGTATACTACATTTTTCTGCTTACTTAGCTGTTACAATTCTCATAGCAGTTACCACATTCTTAATTGTAAATATTATTTCTGTTATGATTTGTGTTCTTTCCTGACATGAAATTTCCTGTATGGTAAAAGTCATATAATTCTCATATATGAATGTTCTGTTGCCAGTGCATAGAATATAGTATGTGCTTAATAAACATGCTACAAATCAACAACTGGGGGAAAATGTAAACATTTTCCAATATTTCTTAGAGTAGTCAAGCATCAAGGAGGGACCAAAAACATTTATGATTATGTTGCCTTATATTTAGGATAGTGTTTTATAATATAATATTACATTACATGTATCATTTCTAAATGCTTAACACTGACAAGCACTATATGGTACTTTGCATGCATCATTTTATTTTTTCCTAGAAATAATCTAGAATATAATATTTTCATTTGAGAGATGAGCAACTGAAGACTTAAAGCATGAAGCTCAGAGTTCCTATCAGAGGCCAAAGGTCATACTCTTAGCAACAAGTCATTCTTCCCATTTGCTTTAGTGTTTAGGGCAAGTTTCTCAGCCACAGAACTACTGCCATTTTGGATAGGGGTAATTCTTTGCCATTGACAGCTGTCCTACATGTCATGGGCATTGAGTGGTAACCCCGACTTCTAACCAACAGATGCCTGTAATACCCATTCTCTGAAGTTGCAAAAACCAAAAATTTCTACATACCTTTTCAAAAGTCCTCTAGTTGAGAAAACCAAAAACTTCTACATACCTTTTCAAAAGTCACCCACCATTGAGAATCCCTGGTGGTTCAGAGGTGCAACTTTCCCACTCACCAATGGTGATTGGGGCATTTCTAAACAGCAGTAAATATGATCATCTAAAGGACATACAAGAGGCTGGATAATCAGCTTCTGGATAATTGGGAATTGGCAGCATGAGGAGACTGGATGCCAATTTAGAAGAATCACATTGAATTTCTAAAATGAAAAGAAAGCCAATCTTGCAAGCCGTTCAAGCTACAGGTTTGCATCAGACCCCGCCTGCTCTATTGTGTGCCTGGCAGCTTTGGCTGATGGTAAAATAGGCTTTTGTCAGAGTCCAGATGAGGGCTCAGCTTGGGGCTGTCACTGTTTTGAGTGGAACACCTATGGTTTTGAATTTTTCCAATGCTCCCCTGCTGCTGAATGCCATCCTGCTCTGGGTATTTTTAGAATACTGCTTTGTTTTAAGTAATACCATATTGCAAAGGTACTTTGAGTCAAACTGGACTGGTATGAGAATCATCAGTTGGTGTAAGGAGTACTACATTTGGGGAGTGCTTTGAATGATATTGATACATCATGGAATAAGTCTAATATATTAAAGAGCAGGTGCACTGGACCATCTCATGAGAGAATGAGTCCAAATGGGGCTGTGTTCCTCAAAAGTCAAACAATGCAACTGCTTTTACAACCAGCAAACGGGCACTAAAATTATGAGAAAATATTTTCGAAAATATTTTGCATTTGAAGCTTTTAAAAACAGCCATATTATTCATTATGGAGAAAATAAAATGTCAGATATTCTTGCATTTATGTTACAACTGTTAGACTGAAGAACAGAGATGATTCAGAATTTCTCTAGCCAATTTAATGGCATCTATCTGGTGGGTCAGCAATGCAAGGGTCGTGCCTGGGAACTACAGTGAAAGGTGTGGAAAGTGTAGCATGAAATATTGGGCAGGGGTCTGCTAGATAGTGTAGGGAAAGATAGCAATCGGCATCACATCCACCTGAACCTCTCTTAGCTCACACAATGACACATCATGAGGAATGGGCACTGTGATCTTTCTGGTGCATAGAGTCTGTCTCTGAAGATCAGAATTCAACTCTTAATTTTAGTTAGTGATGAGAGTACTTGACAGAAATTTTGGCAATATATGAAACAGGAGAGATGTTCTTTCAGTGTTCTGTATTTCAGGTGGGGAACATGATAATGGCCAATAGACACTCCCACCTTGAAAAAGAGGGTAAAAGGACATATATCTCTATGCCCAAATATCTTTTGGGCATGCAGCAGACTTAAGTGGTTCTTGAGCAGGGCCAGGTTCCTCTTTCTGTTCTCAGATGAAGCATCACTTCCTCCAGACTGGAAACCTCTGCACACTGAGCTAAGTATTCCTGCATCGCTCTTCTTCAGTCTGTTCTACATTGCTAATCATAGCTTTCACCATGTATTGTCATAGTCAAAGCACTTTGATTTGTGTCTCTTCCTGTTAGACAAGAACCTCCATGAAGGAAGAGGCCCTCTTGATGTCACCCACTAGTGTACCCTCAATAGTCTATAAAGGATCTGGCATGTAAAAGCACTTAAATACTTATGGCATGAATAATTCGATGAATACGCAACTTAATGGGTGCCAGTTACAAAGAACGAAAAGGAAATGAATAAGCAATGCAATCAGTATAAATATAGTTATTTTCCCAACTAAACTAATTCTGGTCTATTTTATTTGTAGACAATTTTCCAATTATTAATATATCACACCTCCTATAAAAAGAGAAGCCACATTGGATTTTTTTTGATGGGGTTGGGAGAAGATTAATTCTTAAGCATAGCAATGAGGGCTTAGAGCTTTAAAATAACAGGGAAACTAGCAAACCAGCCAAAAAGACATCAAGGTTCAAATTTGATCTGACATGTAGCCTAAGTATATCCCAGACTCATAATGGTTCTGAAACCATGACGACAGAAATAACTCTAATGCCAAGAGAGCATGCCAGAATTTGAAAAACAAAACAAAACAAAACAAAACAAAAAAACAAGGAAGGATAACATATAAACAGAAAGAAACTGTGGACAATTCCCTTTCAAAACCTAAAAACAAGTTTGAATTTACAAATGCCTGAAGAACAGTGAGAATTAGTCTTCTCAGTACTTCTGAGGATTTCGTTTTAGGTATATCTTCAGATTTTAGTAATAGATTTAAAATGCCTGAATTCCTTTGACATTATTATATTGATATTAAATTTCAAGGTCAAAATAAAATAATAAACTGTTCCCCACACTCATCTAAGTAGTTTCCTGTGAAATGTAATGAACACTTTAAAATACACAACTTAGAATCACATGAAATATACAAGCACTTAATTTCAATCCATCGTCACCCCATTGCTTTGCTATTTCAATGTACAACTTACTCAAAGAATGTTATTTTGATTCCAACTGAATAGGCATTTTTAAATGTCATGATATTTGAAAGAAAAAAAAAATGTCCTGGCAATCATAACATTCCATTGTGTAGTATAAATTGCAAATATGTTATTTATATTTGTTCTTCTACATTATGTGAGGCAAAACCTTAAGTTTTGAGATGAATAAATAAAATATAAATGTGCTATGTAATCATCTATATTTATTTATGCTACTTCAATATTTGTACTGTTAGGTTTGGTTATATTTATTTTGATTTCTATTTTAACACTTTTGCACTGTTTTAGAAGCAAAATTTGACTTTTTGCTGCCTTAAAATATTTCAGGTGAAACCAGGTTTAGAAATACACTTTTTCATGGGAAATAAAGCAACTTGCAAGTAAAAGAGCACTTTGAGATGATTTAAATGCAATTTTTTATCCATCTTCCCAAAGGACCTGCTCATTATATGTTACTATTTTAGAAGATTAGGAGGTAGTATATATGAATACCTGAGATCTTAAATTCCATCGTATTAATAAATTGTACCTTTAAAATAATAGCCTGAGGGAATAATAATTCTATGCTTTCTCCGAGGATTTGAAATCATAGTCTTCTCAGTAATATATATTTCATAGAGTTAAAAGAAGTTGCTCCTTTTATCTCAGGATCTGATCCATGAACACATTGAAAACTATTGAACTTATTTTTTTACAGTTTCTCAAGAATTTCTCTTTTCATTTTTACAGTCAAATGAGAAACTGTTAAACTAAAATTTGATAAATATTATCTTCTTCCTTTGTAGATATATGATAACATATGAACTTTAAACAATACATAAAGTATATAGCTATATAAATGTGAATGGCTTACACTATAATCTTTTATTTTTATAAACAAAATGGTTCTCAAAAATATTCAGAAAAAAATGACTTTCAAGTGTTTTGGATTATCTACAGATGACCAAATTTCTGTTATAAAATTTATATTTTTGTGACCTTTTAAAACACATACACACACACAAAGAAAACATTAAGTCAAGAGAAGTATTTGGAGAATGACTGTCCCTACATTTCTGGAAATATTAAAATATTTTATGCAATGGTTTCTCCCTAGCATGTTTTCATCCTTGAGGAATTCTTGGGGTGTGAGGCCTTAGACTTTTATAAAGTTGTGGCTATCAGGAGTTATGGAATAAATTCCTAGTGTTTTCTATCAATCATAACTAACATTTCCTCTCTTGAAACTTTCCTTCCTCTTTGTAACAGGAGGTTATTGATCTAGATCACTGGGGAGTAAGCTGTTCTTTTTTTTTTTTTTTTAATGAGAGCTAATTCAGGGGGAGAAAATCTGTAAGTTATCCAGTTCCACTTGTCTTGTGAATGATCTTATCCCTTGGAGAAAATAAAAATTCTGAAATATTTTTTTTTTTAGTTTATTAAAGAAAATATTTAATTAAAATGTCATCCTTTTAGCCAATAATTGTCTAAGTATTTGAGAAGTTAGACATGTACATCTTTGTAATTTTCATCTCAAAATTAACCAAAGACTATTTGGGCTGTATTTGGAAATGTTCTGTGGTTTAGAAATGTTCATGAAAATTGACCAATTATACAGAAATTGTCAGTTCCAAGTATCCATATTATTGGATTTTACAGAATCAAATTATCCTCTTTTCAAAAAAGCTACTCTTTGGGGTTTGTATTAAAATAAAAAATTATACTTGCCAATCAGTTGTTGAATCCATTTAAGACGTGTGATCATTTTAATTGTTGTGAGAATAGGCTTATGTGAAATTAAAACTTGGGGCAATTTAATGACTCCTGAATGATTATTGTTACCGTTTGTTTATTATTCAACAAACCTGTGGTGCCAGAGCTTAACCACAGCAAATCTGAACTTAAATTTATAGATATTTTTCATTGATTATAAGTGTTTGAATAAAAATACCTCAGTATACATGTATCCAATGCATGAATGTGAATATTGGAGTGTTTTCAATGTGAATATGGGAGTGTTATAAGCCAAATACCTGGCTTATAACTCTAGCATTCATAGAGCCTTGAAATAAAGCAGCAGGCAAATTTCTAACAAAAACCATCCATTTCATAGGACTCCTGTTTCTTTCCTTCAAACTCTGAAGCCTCATTAGGAACATTCTTTTTCTGACTTTATTCTCCCTAGTTGGTATAGCAGAACCTGTTCAAAGGCAGAATCTAAATACTAAGAAGAATTTTCTTCTCTCCTGTGAGAGCTTGGAATCTTTGAGTAGTAGTGAGGATGATAAAAGAAAGATGCCAAAAATTTAGAGCAAAGATATATGAAGGGTGGTGCCTTGGCTTTTATCTGTGAAGTTGGATATGAAGTTGGCCAGATGTACATACCTTGCATGCCACTGACATTACCTAGGACTATTTAGTTGTTTTTGATCAGTGTTTGGACTGCCCTTTCCTGTAAGGTGGACAACATTGGAAAAGTAAGTAATTACCAAAACAATCTCGGCTCCCAAGGGTTCAGTCGCCTTCGTTATTGTCACAGGGGGAGAGGTGGTGATCTGAGCCTTTCTTTTGGCTTTCTGGGCCTGCAGATTGGTGAAGTAGTTGACAGCTGCAAACTCAATGAGTGCAGAGAAGACAAAAGCAAAGCAAACGGCAATGAACCAATCCATGGCGGTCGCATAGGACACTTTGGGTAAGGAGTGCCGGGCACTGATGCTTAAAGTGGTCATGGTTAAAACAGTGGTGATTCCTGAGATGAAAAAAGAGAAAGGCAGTGTTAGCTTTGGGGATTCTGTGGTCAAATCAGATGAGAACATGTTGGTGGCAAGTACTCAACACACTGCAAAAATACTTTTTAAAAAATGTAATCCTATTGATTTACAATACCTGATTTTCTGTAATTCAAATTTACATCTCTTTCTGTATAAGCCTCACCTCACCCACCACAAAGTGGAGTACCTTTCCCACCATCAGGTTGAAACCACCCCCACACTTTCCTAGTTGGACCCTTTCTTAGTCACTTATACCAACTAAGGAGAAATTATTTTATAATAATTATTCACAATTTTTTATCACAGGTGTTACCATTTTGGGGTCCTTTTATAATGTAAATGATGATGTGTATATAGTAGTTGCTAAAAATTATTTGCAGAATCAATTGTAAAATTTAAGTCATGAATAAATTCTAATTTTTACTGTTTGAGAAAACTTAAAGTGAATTATTATCAAGTGAAAGAAACCTGAACTTCTGATCAACTTTAGCAGTTGATATTGTCTTCATCATTTTTAAGAAGTTTTTCTTGGTAGGAATACTAAGCATAAAGTTAGGTTCTTTATTTTTATTTTTTTATTTTTTTTTAGTTTTAGCCTGTTGTTACACAGGAGAAACAATTTTCATCACTCACGTGCCAGCAATAAGTCCTGATGTGTGCCATGAATAAATTATATACTTTGGAGATGTGTAACACCACTGGTTAGCAACATTGTGTAGTTATTCTGTTATAGTGTGCAGAAAGAGATTTTATTTTAGTTTATTTATATATATTTTACATCATTATTCATTTTTAAAGTGTTTGCTTTTTTTCCCCTCAGAAAGAAATTTGTTTTAATGTGGTAAATTAGAGTTAAAATTCATCTGAGATTCCAATTATACTCATATCTTCCCTACTTCCTATGATCATGAATACTTAGGGAAAAAAAGGATTTTGTTACTGATGATGTTTTCTATTATAGTCCATTCTCTTATTCTATCAAAAGCTAATTTCAAAGCTAGCAGTGGTTCTATCCATCATAAATGGGGCTAATATCTGTTTGGAACCATGAGAAACTGGTGACATTTAACTATTTCAGGCCTACCAAAAATGGCAATTTTTTAATCACTAATCTAACAAAAACAAGATATAATTTACACGCCAGCAGGTTCAAGAGTTTGCCTTTTGTGCTCATAGATTTACATGTCAGTTTGTACTTTTCTCCTCTTCCTTAGCTACAAAAAAAGCAAATAGAGCTTTAAAAAAAATCCTATATAGGTCACATGAAAGTCACAGGAAACCAGCTAGAATTATTGCTGAAACGAATTGTTGATTCATCACATAACTTGCAATAAGATGAAAGTCATTTTACATGATGCACAAGATTGGCTGAGACAGGAGGCTATATTGCTATTGTGGGCTGAAAAAGCACACCACGGTGAATATTAACCTAAAATACATAAACCTGGGCTGGAGAAGTAATAAAAATGGAGGGCAAGGAGTGAGGCTTACCAAAGACAGTTCTTGCTGGGACAGACTCCTTGTTAATCCAGAAGGACACCTGGGAAAGAATGACTGTCATAATACAAGGAGTGTATATCTGTATCATGAAGTAGCCCATCTTCCTTTGCAAGTGGAAATAAACTGTCATTATTACGTATTCACCTGTTGGAAGACATGGATATCAAGATCATTGCTTTAGACAGGGTACAAAAAGAATGCAGCTGGAAATAAATCTTGTAGACCTTTAAATGTATAGGAAAGAAGAGAAGCAAAGGCATCTCAGTGTATGACAAAGCTCTTTGATCAACAGATGATAGAGGCATAGGCTCCCTCTTTTCCGTGGGGTTCTTTGTGTCATATATGTACAAAACTACTCATTCCAAGGTTACACAAATTTTTATATGCACATGGTTGCAAAATGAATTTTAAAGAAAGCTACTTATCACTTCAAAGCAACAAGCTTATCTGAGTATTACTAACAGAGGAAAACAAAACAGATATTTTGAAAATGTGCCCGGAAACACCTTGAAGGAATACACCCATGCATCGATTAAATTCTTACCTGTGTTAGATTTAATTGTCTCGCTAGATACTGTTTGTCCAATAAGATCATACTGGAGGAGGCTTGAAGATTCTTCTGGAACTTCTACTGAGTAAAGTGGTCCTTTTTTCCATGTATATATAATTTCACTTTTGGGGTAAGCATCTGAGTTTTATTTAAAAAAAAAGAAACATAGCAGTGTTTACACTAGTTGCATTTTCCTTTCTTTCAAAGCAAACCTTGTCCATATAAAAAGGAAACACAAACATAATTTCCTTTATTGTTTTTCTTTAACCTGGGTGACTAAAATCTCTGACTATAAGATTGATGATAACATAATTACAGAAGTGTATGCCTGGAATTACATTCAAACTGTCATAGTAAGACCACTTTCTTGCTTTCTAGTATCAGACTAAAACCAAATACATATTTGGAATCATTATTTGACTCTTAGAAGCTTTTTGTAACTTACAGCTTCCAAACTTGAGTGGACAAGCATGGCCATCCATAGGAAAATTAACCAGCCTCATGGGACAGTCAGCATTGATGGTAAGCCTAGGAACAATGAGATAAGTGGTTCTGAATTAGGGTGATGGCGGAATTATTTGGGAAGAAGGAGTAGAATAGGGAACCTCTCACCTCATGGTGTAGAGAATGGTCCCATTCTGCATTATTCGGAAGAGTTTATTAGGAGTTGTCATATTGTGGGCAATTGATTTTTTGCCATTCCTGAAAAATGTGTCAGGTGTCCAGATTTTACTGACCATCAAGTTATTCAAACTTAAAATCTCAGTTGGTCCTCCAAACTTCAACCTCTCATCTGTCCAAGTCTGGCGGAAAAAAACATCCATTGTATATTCCTAAGAGAAAAGAAAATATTCAGGCAGGCTGGGGAGATGGTTGATTAAGAGTAGTTTATTCACTAGCTCATATGCCCAATCCTAAAATCTAAGAAATAAAGCAGCTTTTTTATGACAGTTACCTCACAAGAAAGCTATGATTTCAGTGGATTTTTTTTTTTCAAATTCAAGGTTGGTAATGTTAGAGAAATGATAATACTGTTACACAGTCCTCCCACCACCTTGACTGTCCTCAATGTTCTTCTTCTTTTTCAAAATATCAGTCATCCATGGGATTATTTCCCTCCTTATTTTAGAAATCAGTGAAAAGGATTAGAGTCTGGGCTTTGTGCTGACCTTCTGCCATCAGTCAGTCTAACTATTCCTCTTAGTACCTCCCTCATCTTCAAAGTTTTCCTGGCCATCATCGTGCTGTTCTGTCAAGTTCCCAGTTAGGTAAATTTTCCTTGGCTGCATATCATAACTATTTCATATTATTCCCAGAGAACATAAAAGCAAACAGCATCATTTAACTAAGCATAATCAAAATGATGAATTTTAATTAATGTGTGGCTTTTATGAAATCACATTAAAATCTTAAAAATTATGGTAAAGACTATTTCAAAAGTCTTTAAATGACAACTTGTGGTTATATCAAAATATCACCAACACTTGCTTTGTCTACTTTATCTGTTCCTTTTGGACAGCTATTACTGTAAGCGGTAATTGTATTTTGAAAATATAATGTAATACACAATAATCCATATAATAATGTTCCAGGTTATAATAAAGCTTTATTGTGCAACATGCTTACATAAAATACATAAAATAAATTTCCAAGTATCCCCAGACTTCCCTAGCACAGATGGTTATTTGTACTTGGGATGAGTCAGTACTGAAATGACAGATGTAATTGCAAAATATTTGGGGATTCTGGATAATGCTGACTCTCCTTTCTCTCAGGTATTAAGATGTATATCTTTTAAATAAAGACATTCTCTCTCCCCCTCTTCCTTGTTTTACTTTCCCCTCTCTTTCCACATTTCTCTTCTTTATTTGCCCTTCTTTACTTTTTTTTTCTGTTTTCTTGTCAACTCAAAAAGTAGAAAATTAACAAAAATCTCTAATAACTTTCTTTAAAATTTATATTTCCCCAATAAAATGTAATGATATACCTTTAAAGACAGTTATGTTTACTTAAGTTTTAGTATTGATATTTTACTCTTAGGGGAAAATGGTACCTGAGAACTATGAAAGAATATCATGATACACTTTGTTCTAAAAGACTGATTCAGGTTTCTCTTGCCATCACTATAAATATCCTCTTACGGATCCACAGCCATCTGTACCTGGAACAGAGTCGCAGGAACACCTGCTGGTACTTTTGCCATGTAAAGGGTAGAATTCGTTAGCTTTTCCAAATAACTCCATTTACCGTTTCAATACAATGTACTGAAAAGGATGCACTACAAAAGACAGGTTTTAAGTTTCTTGGATAATTTTCTCTCTTATCTGGTGTAACATCATTGATGTTTTTCCAACAATGTTGTTACTCCAACAAATTTATTAGGATTTCATAATGATGAGGACAGTTTTCTCCTTGTAGGGAAAAATTAGTTCATGGTATATGGAAGGAAGAGAGAGCATTATTGTAACAAGTGCGCAGATTCAGCAGAACCCTTAGTGAATGTGAAGGAGATTATGTCGGTAATCTGCCGTAATAGCTATGCCCTCCCAGCAGGCCCCCACACGTGGCATCATGGATCACAAGCCAGGCTTGGTGACAGTGCCCATTGTGGTGAGTTCTGGGACTCAACCTCCCTCCTCCCACCCCACAACTAAAATTACTCTCCTCACTCCGAGCTCACTCACCATGTCCACATCTGACACAGGCCCAAAACTGGTCACATAAATATCTGTTTTCACTTCGGTGACAGCACCTGTAAAGAGCCCAGTGGGATGCGGTCAGTTACCACCAACAATGTTCAAGGACAGAATTCAATGACACTACCACCAAGTCCCTCCCAATGGCCAAAATCTGGATCCCATCCTAGAGAAATGCCAAGAATAGGAGTCCTTGAGTTTTTCATCTCTGAAAACTCACATCTGTTGCCTTATTTTGATTTTTTTTTCTGGTCAATTTGTAGAAATATGGAATGGGAGGGAATGGGTAGTGTTCTAATAAAAATTAAGACAATACTATATACTGATATCTTTGAGACATGTTAACAAAAGTGTTTTACATGGAGAAACAATCTGTACTCACACAGCTCTACATGGTATGGATTCACACATTCATAAAGTTGAGGAAACTGAGGCTCAGACTTCAGATACCTTATATATAATAAGGTCAGTAATAAAGAAGGGACAGAGATAGATGGGAACACATATGTGCCCCTCTCCTCACTCCTGCACCTTCCTCCTCACCCTCTTATCCTTCTCACATCTTTGGATATTGGAGCCCCAATAGGAGTGAAGGAGAGTATGGATGTTTCATCTAGTAAAGAAGCTGCCTCTCACCTCCAAATCCTGGTCGTAGTCGATTGTCATAGCCTTCAAGCAAGTTGTCCAGAATCCGACTGACATTTTCTGAGTAGAAGTTTCCTTCATCTCCAAGTGTTCTTAGGGCATTTTCTACCCTGTAGGTAAGACCATCAGTAATCCTCACTCCCAGCCTCAGAGAACAGATGCTATTCAATACACCTTGTCTTCACCACCACAAAGATACATCACACAACCCCTTGTGCTTCTGTGAAGTCACCCATGGTTGTGTGCCTCCACTCTCCTCCAAGCTAAAAGGAAAAGTAAGAAAAAAAAATCTTACTTACCACAGTATAATGTATAGCCAAGGCAGAAGTGATGCCATCATACCGTACACCAAAATGTTCAGTTCACCCTCCTCCTGCCACTCCCTCCCCCAACAGGCTCCCCTCTGCCAGTCAACTAAAGCAATCTTCTGAAAACCCTCATCTCCCTTTTCCTGATTTGCCTCCAGCCAGTAATCCAATAGATAAAGAGGTTGCCAATAAAACTTTGAGGGGTCCCCCTGCTGCTCCCTTTACTCTTGTTTCCGACTTTTCATGTGGAACAAGGTGGCTTGTGGTCTTATGCTATCCCGATGGACACTCAGCCTCCTCTGTCTGACTCAGTTGGGAAATGAAAATCTGAAGGACAGTGCATGGTCAGAGAGCTGTGACAATAATCAAAAAAGGCATTAGGGGAGATTAGAAGGAAGAATTCCACTGCTAGTTTTGGCATGGAATTAGCAGGGCCCTGGGAGGAAATCTGGAAAACAGTGGCATCTTGCTGATTGAGATTATGTTCCAGTGGGCTCAGCATTTATTATTTCTATGGTTCACAGAAGGATTCCTACACAGCTCTCACTGCTGAAAAAAGTCTAATGATATTGGCATGCTCTTAGACTTTTTTCTTTTCTGGTATCATCAGCTTTGTTGCATCATGTACACTTTTCCTTTGTATTGAAAAACTATTCTTCATTCTTTATGGAAAGGATTTATAACAAACCAGAACCACTCCCGGCTTGCTAGTGGGTTAGTGTGTATGCGTGTGTGTGTGTGCACGCTCGTTTGTGTGTATGTATGTGTGTGTTTTAAGTACTTTCCTGAACCTTACTGTCAAAGGTTACCATTTCAAGCAAAGATATAAGTGGATCTTGATGCTATCTTTAGAAACCAGACTGTGAGTAATAATGTTTGAAAACAGTGGATCATGGTTCCCATGTAAAGATGCTGTAAGACAGCCATAGACATAGTTAATGGTAATATTGCTGGCACTATTTTACTAGACTTGCTACCAGTCAGTTAAAAGCTAAATATTTGATTCAAGAAACAGTATTCTGAAGGAAGGGACATAATTAACCAAACAAACTCTATAAATATGACTGCAAATTCGAGATCTCAGAGGGGGTAGGGAGAATAGGGGGACCAAAGAGGGGAGAAGGCACAATGGACTTTGATGGAAAATTAGTCATGCGATGGTGAGCATGGTTTCGTGACATATATCTGAAGATGTAGGAGCCTATTCCCCTATTTTGTACAGTGTTGTAAAGCAATGTTCCCTCTGTAAAAAAAAAAAAAAATAGTTACGGGGAAAAAACAATTATCCAGACTGGTTGGAGGAAGTTGGAGTATTAAATTTTTTATCTTTAAATAAAAAATCACACTAAAGAAAAACTTTGTGACTATGTATTTAAATGTGTTTTATATGTATGTTTATATAAATATAACATTTTTTTCATTATATATTTTATATTTTATATAAGCATAATATATGTATAGTATATAAATATATTTGTATTTTATATATAATGCATACATATCTATTTTATATAGTATATATGGCTTACATATTTATGTTTTATATAAAATATTTTATATATACATATTTATATATTTTTAAAATTCAGAAACATAAGAGCAAGAAGCAAACATCTCACTCACAATCCTCTTGCCATATCCACTCACCAGCCTCCCGGTTCATAGTCTGTAGTTTCAGAACCTAAGTTCTGTAAAGTCAATGGACATTGTTGCAGATATAGAGCATTCTTAGAAGTCATTTCTGAAGAATGATATAAATCTTTGAGGAGCATTTTAAGAAATTAGCTATAACCAAGAAAAAAACGGTGGAAACAAGAATAGTACATATTTTATATGAAATATGCATTTTTAATTTACTGAATCTCATAATTACAGGAAATCTTTTGGTTCCTCACCAAAATGCTTTATTCCCTCCAGCATTCAGAATCAGGCTTTATAAATGGTTTTACTTGCACTGCATTGAAACATTTACCCTGGTGCTAATCCTCACCTCTTCACCGAGGCACAATAATTTCCCCAGGAAAGACAACATAACAGGCATTTTATTTATTTATTTATTTTATTTTTTTATTTTTTAATTATAAATTTTACATAACAGCATTTTAAAAAAGCTATCTATCATGTCCTGATGTCTGCTAAAAATCCTGACATCTTGTTCACTGCAGGATCTGGTTTCCATATCACTTTTTGTATCACATCCCTTTAAACTGCCATGTGGAGCGTGGGAGAAGGGGAATTCTGGGCAATATGTGATGTAACTTAAACACTGATGGAACTTAAAAAAACATTGGATAATCTAAAACAATATCACAGTAAATATAATGTAGATGTGATACAACTACATTCAGAAAAAAAGATAATAAGCACTATGCTGATTTAAAAAGTATAATTGAGGGCCTTAATAGCAGATACACAGGAACCATAGAGAGAATTAATTAACTTGAAAACACAATACTGAAAATAGAACAAAGTAGAGAAAAAAGTATGAAAGAATTAAAACAGTAAGAATTTTCTGGGACAACTGAAAGACATGATATCCACATCACTGGAACTCTTAGAATGAGAAAAACAGAATGGTATAGAAAAGATATTTAAAGAAATAACACTAAAAACAATCTCACTCTGGAAAATTAACAAGAAGTTGTGATCTAAGAGACCCAAAGAGTTCAAAACAAAATAATACCAGATAGATATAAACCAAGACACATAATAATAAAGGAGGAACCAATGAGAAGACAGAATACTAAAAATATCAAGAGAAAGAAAGGTAACCTATAAGGGAACACCAATCACATTATCAACATATTTTTTTCAACTAAAATATTGTAAGCATGAAGAGAATGGAAAGAGATGTTCAAAATATTTAAGGAACAAAAGACTTCCAGCCCAGAATCTACTTTCCACCAAGATTAACAAGAAAGAAGGAGGGATAAAGAGCTTCACTGAAAGAAAAAAGCAAAAAAAGTAAAAGAATGTATCAACACCAAGCTGTTTATGAAAGAAATCCTAAGTGGTTTACAAAAAAATGATGCAGTACCACATATACCATGGAATATTATATAGCCAGAAAAAGGAGGAAATACAGTCATTTTCCAAAAATGGAGGGGATTTGAAAGAATTATTTTCTGCAAAGCAAGTCAAAATGATAAAAGCAAATGTTTATTCAAATAACCGACAATTCAACAACATAAAGCACTTCAAAAACTTTGGGACATCAACAAACATCTTACAGATTATGAGGTTAAGAGGGAGTGGGGAGGGAAAGGGACAGAGGATCCCAAATTATGGTAGTGTGGGGGGAAAGTAAAAAATACAAGTTTCAGCTATATTAAAGGAATAATTTCTCACTGTCATATTTATCTAAAATAAGGAACAGGTCACCATAGAACAAACCAAGTATTCTATTAATAAAAGTATTGAGGTATAGCATGGAACTTCATGGGTGGGTTTCATGGATCTGTGATTCAGGAGAATATTATAAGAGCAGGAGATTGAGGGTATTTGGGCACATCTTGTGGAAAAGATGTTTCATAGAGACCTTGGGTAAATATTTGGAATCAAAGACTCCATTATAGAGTTTCTCTGGAATGATGTAAGGAAGATTTAAGTGGTAAAAAGTATCTTCAAAGGACAGTGAAGCAAAAAAAGTGAGTGGAAAAATCCTACTAAGTTGTACCAAAGGAGAAAGCATAAGTGGTAGATTACAAAACAATTGTGAATATTTATTAATCATTTACTACATGTTAGTCATATACATTGATATTAGCTCTAATCTGTGGAACTGCTTTATAAGCCAGCTCTTTTCATCTTTATTTTTAAAAGAATGAAACGAGACAACTAACATAATGCCCTAGATCTAGCTAGTATCTCTGATTCCAAAGTGTACACTTCTATTTACCATGCTTTATGTATGTCAGATTTGACTCTGTATTCTAAAACTAGTGTTCTTAAATGCTCTAGATCAGCAACATTTTTATCCTGTTGCTAAGGGATACATGACCTCTCAGTAGACATTGTAGAAAATCCCTATGCATTCCCTTTTGGGAATCCAGGGCAATATGGATAAAATTGCTCTGGGAAACAAAAGCAATAAAGGGACAGTCCTCTGAGCTGCAGGTTAAAATTGTTCTGGCTTGATTAGGAATAGAATGTTGAACACTTTATAGGGCAGTTTGATGTTCCCAAAAGGTATTGGCAGGCAATAGCCATTTCAAACCTAAAATTGCAAATACAGAAGGACCAAAAAAAAAATGTCTTAAAAGAACACGGGTATATGAATTTATGATTTATACTAGTTCAACCAGTATCAGTTAAACTTAGCTCTTATAAATGCTTGTCATATGCTGAAAATATAGGAATTTATTAAAAACAATAAAAACTTCAGGAGGCTCATATATATATATATATATATATATAATAAACACAATATTGCTGATAAGATGCCGAGTGCTAAAATCACCATAGCTATTACCTCAGTTATTAACCAGAAAGAGGAGGCCATCTCTGTAAAGAGAGGGAGATCAATGATTACATTGATGAGATAACATTTGGACTGACCTCTAGAGATTGAATAAGTCAGTCGTTAGTAGGTTAGCAAGGGCCGTTCTAGGTGGCATGATGAGCTTATGGGTGTTTGCATTCTTGTTATGTCTATGAAAACAACTCTGAAAAGCTTGAATCTAGAAAAACAAAGAAGAATGTAATGTATAGAAAGACTAGAAGAAAAAGTTAAGTGTAAGGAGGAAGATTTGTATATTACCATCCAGAGTAGTCCAGGATAGTGTTGTCTAAACAATTCAAAAGAGCACTTATTCCCTGAAAATTGTGCTGTTACTTCATGCATTGGAGCCTTTCATCCTTGCATACATCCTTGCATCCTTGTATGTTTGTACCACTTGCTTCTGTATCAACCCTTTGTAATCAGGTTTGTTGGGTTCACTTTAGTCAAGTTACCTAGGTAAATTGTTTTTTTTTTTTTTTTTTTTAAAGATTTTATTTTTATTTATTTATACAAGCACTGGGTACAGTCAGAAGCGTGGGAGGGTGAGAGAACTCACCAGAGCCAGAGTGGGGAGCAGAACAGGCAGACTGAAGTACACTGCTGAGGGGAGCAGCGGGCGGCAGGAGAGGTCTGCGCGCCATGTGGGACCCTCCTCCGGCGGCCAGGGAGCAGCCGGGTATCGAACCGGCGCTGCAGAGGCTGTGGGCAGCTTCGCAACCCAGCGCTCAACCGCTGCACCACCGGGGAGGCCCTACCTAGGTAAATTGTTTATCATAATCTCCATCATCTATACAATAGGTATTAAAGAGGATGAAGTGAAAAATGCATGAAGGTATTTATCATGGAAATTTCACATAGTTAACAAGAAATAAAAATATCCATCAACACTACTACCACCATCATTGCCAACTTCAGTGTCATTTTTGGACAAATCAAATATCTTCTCTCTAGTGTTTAGAAATGGGGTCAAGAAATTAGACTTTACTAAGATTGCCAGTGTTGAGGGAAGGTATATTTGACCAAGTTCATGTAACAATAGAGAAACATCTGTAAAAATACAAGACTGCAATTCAAAAATCTGAGTGTGTGCCTTCCTAGATTTCTGAATGACTCCCTTCATATTTTGAAGGAATGCATTACATCATCACTAGCTCTTTTTATTATTTTATTTTATAATTTCTTTTTGTTGAGGTAGCATTGATTTACAACACTATATATGATTGTGAGGTACAGGTTCACACTCTTTAGATATATGTTATTACACCCCACCAGGGAACTCATTGTCATCTACCATAGTCCATTTTGCCCCCAGGAAATGAGACTTTAAACTCAGAAGGCAGTAGCCTAAACTTGAAAGCAAAATTTTAGATTGTGATGATACATTATGACACTTGAGTGGACTGCATACCCCACTGGAGAGCAAACCTAGACAAAGAGGAATCCTGTTTATACTTCCTGAGCCTTCTGAAAAAGAATCTTGTCAATTGGCAACTACTTAATGAACTTGCTGCTTAATGATTCTCTCCTGCCTCCATGGAGTAGAATAAGCATTTTAGTAAACTGCATGAACTCTTTCAGGCCACTAGGGGACTACTGAGCATCATCTTTTGGCAGTGCTACCCAACCCCAGAATCTGCCTATTTATCAGGTACTTGGAGTATAGGGAAGAAAGGACAGAATTTTGGGTTCAAGCCCAGTGATGATGAGCTCTAGGGAGATGTTATAGAAGAGCAAGCAGAATGAAAGTCTATTAACATGGATTTTTTTTGGACTGGAATAAGATGTAAATACCAAGACTACTACCACATAAAGGTATATTTTGAAAGCAAGTGGTAAAATTTAAAAAATTGAAAGTGCTTGGAAAGGTCAGAGTACTTCATGGGATTAATTGTGTCCTTTATGTTGTTCTATTCAATGACTTAATGGTTCCTCTTAGGATGAAATATAAGAGGATTGCCATTTGTGTATGAGTGATTTAATCTGAGATGAAAAAATGATGGGGTGAAAGCAGCTCTTCTGAGAAGATAAGAGGTGTTTGATAAGTATTGTGGAAATAATGACTCATTGATGAGTCTATCTCACAAACACATACAACTAATTAAAATCTAACAAATTCAAACCATCAAAGAAACGAATAAATAAATTATTTTACAATATATCTTTTTTTAAAGTTTTTTTTTTGATTTATTTATTTATTTATACAAGCACTGGGCACAGTCAGAAGCACGGGAGGGTGAGAGAATTCACCAGAGCCAGAGCAGGGAGCAGAACAGACAGACAGACAAAATACACTGCTGAGGGGAGCAGCGGGCACTGCAGGAGGGGTCTGCGCACCATGTGGGACCCTCACCTGGTGACCGGGGATCGAACTGGCACTGCAGAGGCTGCGGGCAGCTTTGCAACCCAGCACTCAACTGCTGCGCCACGGGGGAGGCCCAACTTGTTTCTCTTTTGACCTTGCTGCCTGAAAGCTTAAAGTCAAAACTGAATTACTGTTGACTTTTGTTATGTTAGTGTTCTCTTATTCCTGCACGTATTTTTCAGTTTCTATTGTACACTTTCCATTTATTTTTTTCTGTTAGCTTCTTGAAAAATTTGGGGGAAAACCATAGTATACAAATATAAATTAGCAAATGAAATAATTATTGCCAATTTTCTGTTGCCACTAGGCCATCCCAGTCAAGTATATTCACATCTGTTTGATTACCTTATCTGCAGTAGTGATTGGTCTTAAATGAAGAATAAGATAGAGGAATCCAAAAAAGAGAAGACATTAAGCATGAAGGGAGAGTTGGAACCAAAGATGCTAGTAAAATCAGGTACTTAACTAGAGATAATCTATTTTACAGAAAAGAAGCATTTACTGTGAATCTTCAGCCAAGTTGTACTTTGAAACTATATTAGCAAGATGTTATATTTTGAGCTAAGGAAAGGAAATACTATTTTTGTTTATGTGAAATCACGCTCTTTATTTTTTTAAAGAAGTTTTAGATTCACAGCAAAATTAAAAGACACTGAATTCCCACATATCCCCTTCCCTGTACACATGCATAGTCAGCCTCGTTAGCCACATCTCCCACCAGAGTAGTACATTTATTTGTACAGTTGATGAACCTACACTGACCCATTGTCACTTGAAGTCCATATTTTACATTATGGTTTAGTTCACTTCTTGGTGGTATTTATCTATAGGTTTGGACAAATGTATACTGACATGTATCCAGTATCATAGCATCATAGGAGTATTTTTAGTGTCCTAACAACCTTCTCTGCTCTACCTATTAACGTGTCCCAAGCCTCCACCCCCAACACTTGACAGCCACTCTTCTTTTTACTATCTATGTGGTTTTACCTTTTCCACAATGTCTTGGAGTTGGAATGATATTGTGTAGGTTGGCTTCTTTCTCATAGTAATATGTGTGTAAATTTCCTCCCTGTTTTTTTCATGACCTGACCTGATAGTTCATGACCTGATAGTTCATGAAAATAACAGGGAGGAAATTTTTATATGAAATGTTTATAATATTGTACATGTCCACCAGCAATGAATGAGAGTTTCTCTTGCCACACATCCTTACCAGCACATGGTGTTATCAGTGTTCTGAATTTTGACCATTTAATAGATATGTAGTGGTATCACAAGTTTGTTCTATTTTTTTTCCTGATAATATGTGCTATGGAGCATATTTTCATATAATTATTTCACATCTGTATATCTGTGTGAGGTGTCTGTTGCCGTTTCTGCCCACATTTAATTATTTATTTTGTTAGTGTTGAGTTTTAAATGTTACATATATATATTTTTGTTGATAGTCCCTTATCAAATGTGTCTTTTGTTTATGTTTTCTTTTAAACCGTGGGTTGTGTTTTTCTCTTGAGATTGTCTTTTGAAAAGAAGTTTTTCATTTTAATGAAGTCCAACTTATCAATTATTTCTTTCCTGGGTTGCCAATTTAGTGGTATATCTCAGAAAGTATCTCCATATCTAATATCATCTAGGTTTTCTCTATGAAGCTTACAATTTTATATTTTATATTTACGTCTGTGGTCTGTTTTGAGTTGCTTTTTATGAAGGGTATAAGGTTGTGGTTATTTTAATTTTTTTGCATCTGAGTGTACTGTTGTTCCAGCATCATTTTTTTAAGGTTTTATTTATTTATTTTTGCACAGAAGTGTGGAGGTTGAGAGAATTCACCAAAGAGAAAGTGGGGAGCAGAACAGGCAGATCTACTGAAATGCATTGCTAAGGTGCAAAACAGAAGTCTGCTACCACCTTGGTGGTAGGTAGTAGCCCTGAAACTTAACCACTAGGCCACCAGTGAGGCCCCCAGCACCATTTTTTTAAATATTTCTTACATCATTTTTCATTTTTGCACAATGTATGCATTTTCATCTTGGTTATATTCCCCATACAATTGCAGCCCCCTTATTTTGATCCCAATCCCTCCTCCCACCGCCCACCCCCATAGTGTGTCTCTGGTTTATAGTTGCCTGTTGATTTTGATTTTTTCTTTATTATAGTTATTCTTTTTCCGGTTTTCTTGCTGGCTTATTTCGCTGAGCATGATCCCTTCCAGCTCCATCCATGTTGCTGCAAATGGCATGAGTTTATCTTTTTTGATTACTGAGTAATACTTCCATTGTGTGTGTGTATATATATATATATATATATATATATATATATATATATACCACATCTTCTTGATCCAGTCATTTATTTTTGGGCATTTGGGTTGTTTCCAAAGCTTAGCTATTGTAAATAGTGCTGCTATAAACATAGGGGTGCAGCTGCCCTTTGGAATTAATGTTTCTGTGTCATTTGAGTAAATACCTAGGAGTGGAATTGCTGGATCATATGGAAGCTCTATCTTCAGTAGGTTGAGGAATCTCTATACAGCTTTCCATGGTGGTTGGACCAGTTTGCACGCCCACCAACAGTACAGGAGAGTTCCTTTTTCTCCACATCTTTACCAACATTTGTTGGACATCATCTTTGCTTCATTGTATTGCCTTTGTTCCTTTGTAAAAGAACAGTCAATTATAATTACAAGGGTCTGTTTCTAGGGCCTCTGCCCTGTTTAATTGATTTATTTGTTATACCTTTGCCAATACCACACTGTCTTGGCTTCTGTAACTTTATAGTAACTCTTGTAATAAGGAAGCACAAGTCCTTCAACTTTGTTCTGTTCATTATTTTATTGGCTTTGCTGGGTCTTTTGACTTTCCAAATAAACTTTAGAATTGGTTTTTCAATATCCACAAAATGACATGTGGGGATTTTTATTGAGTTTGCATTGAATCTATAGATCAAGTTAGGTAGAACTGACATCTTGACAATAGCTATTTAATTTTTAAGAGCTTTTTAAAATACAGAAATGTACAGAGAATAGTTAGCTTGCATTCTGGTGCCTAGCACAAGGATTACAAAGACATTTTTTTTTTTTCCTTTAGGTAAAATGTTTTAGACATAAAAAAAATCCAGATCTCTATATTCCACATATGAGTAAAATCATCTGACATTTGCATTTGTCCTTCTGATTTATTTCACTAAGCATCAGCCCCTCCAGCTCCATCCTTGTTACAAATGACAAGTTCGCCTTTTGTAATAATGACCATTTGAATTTCTTCATATTTAAATTGCCTACTTACAGCCTATACTCATTTTATTACTTGTTTATCTTTTCAATATTAATTTATATAAGTTATAGATGTTATAAACACACACACACACACACTTTGTTTATATGTTTAACCATGCATTCTCCCATTCTATTTCTTTATAAACAGTATACTCTGTTATACAGAATTTTAGAAAAAGTTAATGAGATTATCTTTATTTTGTTTTTCCTTTCATACTGTGTAATCTAAGGTTTTACCTTATAAATTATTTTCCTCTGTGAATTAAAATACCTTATACCTTTTCTTTTGATAATTTTCATTCTTTTTCCATTTAAATTTTTAGTTATTTGGGATATATATTTTTTTAAAGATTTATTTATTTATTTATACAAGCACTGGGTACAGTCAGAAGTGCAGGAGGGTGAGAGAATTCACCAGAACCAGAGCAGGGAATAGAACAGGCAGACTGATGAAATACACTGCTGAGGGGAGCAGTGGGCACAGCAGGAGAGGTCTGTCGCGTCATGTGGGACCCGCACTGGTTACCGGGGATCGAACCGGTGCTGTGGAGGCTGCGGGCAGCTTCGCAGCCCAGCACTCAATCGCTGCGCCACCAGGGGAGGCACAATTTTGGGAATATATTTTTGTGAAAAGAGAATATTCAAGATGTATTTTATTTCCCTAACTATCATATAGTTGTTCCAACACCAAGTGTGGAATAGGCTCTATTTCTCCCATTAATTTGTACTATCCTCTGTAAAATATAACAATTTCCTTTTTTGGGATTCTTTAGACTCTTAAGTCTGTTCTATTAACTTATTGGTTTATATACACCATATTGCTTTTCTCATTTTCTAAAATCTGCTATATTAATTGTCAATGTGTACGCATGCATTATATACATTTTATGCATATATATAAGTACATAGTTTGAAAAGTTGACATTTAATAACTGTTATTGTATGATGTATAGGAAAAACTCAGCAAGTTGAATGAAGAATTTTTGTATTTCTTTTTGCAGCTTCTGTTGTTGGATCAAGCTTGCATAATACTCCAATGAAATGTATTTGGAAGTTCTAAGTGATAGAGGAGAACCATGTTTGATGAACAATTCTAGGCCATTATTCAGTAATAGCTCTCTCCTAAAGTGATCTTCATGCTTTTGTACATCTGAGAGAGATTTATGGGGCTTCATATCAGCTTTTCATGCAAAAAAAAAGCATTGAGAAAAATTTAGTTATGTATCTCCAACACCCATAGTGTGCTGGGTGGCACTCTGAATGTCAGGAAGCATTGTCAAGGAGGAAAGTGAATATGGCAGAAAAAAAAATGCAATTCCCAAAGTGTCCAAACCAACCCATTAAAAATTACTTGTAATTTGTCACATCACATCAATCAGTTACATTTGAAGGTCCTGGAAACACGTCCCTTAAGAGGTGTGATAGATGAAAGAGCTCACTTTAGCCTACAGTACCCTGTTGCTCAAGAGCAGTACCTGCATTTTAGCTGCTAATAAAAAAAAATAGCCTAGAGGTTGTAACCAAGTAACAGGCAGTTTATTTTTATATAATGTAACCTAGATCAGAAATTCCATAATATATACCAGGTATGTTGTTCTAGAAAAATGTAAACTAGACATTAAACTAACTTTTGTAATTTCTGTTTTATTCCTATTTTTCATGCACAAGACATAGAAACAAATTTTAAAAGGCATGCATTTTTCTTACATTTTGATAAATTTCAGTAAATCTTACTTCTATTGCTTTATTATTTATTATGAACTAGCAAAATAATACCTAATCTGATTAATTAAAATATATTTAATGGGCTGTAAAATTACTATTTGATTGCAAATAAAATTGTTCAAGTGCACAAGTGTCAGTGTGTGACTGATTACAATATAAGTGCGTATGGATATTATTCAGCACTTCATTTTATGGATATTTTATCAGTACTTCATGGATATTTTATCAGTACTTCATTTTCAGTAATACAAAGGTAGATATAAATGTATACCTAGGGCCTCCCTGGTGGCACACAGGGTTAAGACACAACCTATGAAGCTATCCGCAGTGACTGCGGCACCGTTCAATCGATCCCCAGTCAGGTAGTTACCCATATGGCTTAACAGACCTCTCCTGATGACCTGTGGCTCCCCTCAGCAGTGTATTTCAGTCAGTCCACCTGTTCTGTTCCCCACTCTGTCTCTGGTGTGTCCTCTCACCCCCCACACCTCTGACCTATATCCCAGTTCTTGTATGCATAAATAAATAAATCTTTAAAAAAATGCATGCCTATTCCAAATGCACTTCATTTGGGGTTATTTATAAGGATATACTCTTATTTTATTTAGTGTGAATTCTTGTTTTTTAGGTAAGTGTGTAAATAAATAGCAATGAGGCCCCTGAGTACTCAAGAAGCTGCCCAGAAAATAACAAACAGTATTGCATTAAAGCTGAAAAAGTATCAAATCTCAAATACACTAATCAAATTAAATTTTTACTTGGTTTTAGTTCCCACTGAGTATTCACTGATAGAGATCAGAAAATCATGGAAGAAATTATGGTGTTCTTCAAATCTTCAAGGGGGTAGGCAGAAAGGGAGAGAATAGAATAAAAGGACAGAATTGGGCTCTAAGTAAAAAGACCTGCCCAATGGTGTTAGTCCCTTATGTCTGTCAGGATTCTCTTAAATGGAATCCGTAGTCTTCCACCATAGTCCATAACATGCCCCTGGTGGTGGGTGTGGTATAAGGATATACCGTTTGAGGAGGCGTGATCTTCTGCCACTGAATCACATGCAATGTTGTAAAATAATGTTACTCTTGTAAAATTGTAAAGTGATAATTTAAAATAGATTTGTTGCTAAGGTTAAAATATAGAAATAGAACCAGTAGGATATCAACTAACATAGTTATGGAGGATAAGAAGTCCCAGGAGCTGCAGTTAAAAAGGGGGAGACCAAAGAGAGGTGGTGGGATAAACTCCTTCCAAGTGCAAGAGAAGAGTAGTGTCCCAGCTCAAAGAGAGGTAAGAAGAGAGTGTGAATGTTGCCTTCCTTCACCTAATTGGTCCTCTATGGATCAGAAGACACCACCACTTTGGGGAGAGCAATGTGCTTTACTTAGTCTGTTTGTGCAGACTATACACTTTAATATCATACAGAAACACATCTTCACAGTCACATATAGAAATTGTGTCTAACCCAATAGCTGGGCCCTTCATTGCCCAGTTGAGCAAGTCGATATATAAAATTAACTGTCACATACCTTTTTATTCCTGATAGCCTCTATTGTGAGAATGCCTCAACTCACAAGCATGCCATTGCTTCTTATAAGTATCCTGTTCCTTCCCTTTCTCCACTGTCTGAGGGATGACAACCATTAGGGTTGTAGGTTTTAAATGAGGTAATACATTCAAGTGACTTAGCACAAAGAAGGTCTTACAAGCAAAGACTCAACAAATCTGCTGTTTCTATTATTTAAGTTAATAAGAATAATAAAAGCTCAAGTGCCTCTAAGATCTACTGAGTTTTCCAGAGAGCCAGGATATACAGTCCTATTGTGTGCCTGCCTGAACAGAATCAGGAATCATAGATAAATGGCATGAATGATCCCACAGAAAGTCAACTGGAGAAGGTCAAATACCAGTTTTAGCAGGTAGTTTTGTTCAACCATTACTTTATAATGTTTATGAGAATAAGGCAATCATTTTCTTGTTAAGACCATGATGATTGTAGACTTGGCATATTCTCCCCATATCTATGTTGGTATTCTCCAGGTACTCTAGTTTCCCACCACATCCAAAAGATGTGAGGTTCAGTGGTATGTCTTTATTGTCCCAATCAGAGTGCATATGTGTGTGCATGCTATTATGGTATGCACCCTGTGACAGAAAGGCAAGCTGTCCAGGGTTGGGTCCTGCCTTGACTCTGAGCTGGCTGGAGAGGCTTAGGTCCCCTGTCATGCTGACCTGGAATAAGTAGGTTGGAAAATGAATGAATAAATACAAATCATTGGTGATCATTATAATTCTTTGGGATCTTTGTTTAGCTGTTTGGTGATGTTTTGCAGTGAAAAATTTGCTGTAGAAACTTTTACATCAATTAGCCTGTAGTCAAATTGGTTTTGTTATATATCCTTTTGCTTAAAGTTGGTTTCCAAGAACCTGTCAGTGTAGTTAAGCGGCATAGACAAGTGACATGAATTCTAATAGCAGCTCTTCTCCTTTGAATTTCTTTGTCTTACTCATTTTGAATCATGATATACTGCTTTGCCTCCACCAAAGCTTCTATCATAATTATGAGGTATTTTACTATTCCTGTAACTGTCCTGGCTGGATCTTTTATTTCAACACTGTTCTTTGATTGCACTTAAGTCACCTATTTCCAGGGATACATCCTGAGAACTTCCAGACCTAGAAATGCCCCCCCACCCCAGAAACATATAACTGGATTTGCTCCCTCAACCCCAGCCCCATCAGTCCAAGGTTCTCTCACCTCTTCATTTTCAGAGATTTACAATCATTTCTCTCCCTAACCCAGTGGAAACACAAGCTTGCTTGTTTCAACTGTTTTCTTACTGCTAGTTCCATTTGCTAGCATACATGTTACTTACACTATTGTCAGTAAAGCTACTTTTCTCTAAATATCTTCTCAGACTGTTGTTTTCTATTGGAGAAAAAATTTAATCCATCAGGGTCTCCCCTGGTGGCACAGGCGGTTGAGCACAGCTCTGTGAAGCTGTTCGCAGCCTCTGCAGTGCCGGTACATCCCCACCAGTAGTGGACCAACCCACATGGCGCAACAGACCTCTCCTGTCTCGCCCGCTGCTCCCCTCAGCAGTGTACTTCAGTCACTCTGTTCTGTTCCCCACTCTGTCTCTGGTGAATCCTCTCACCCTCCCGCGCATCTGGCCTGCACCCCAATTCTTGTATGCATGAATAAATAAATCTTAAAAAAAAAAGATTTGGGGAAAAAAATTAAACCATCATGATTATAAATGCACTGAGTCTATAGTATATTAAATTATCAGGTTTCTCTCTGTGTATTTATCATTCCTTTGAACCTAGTCTTTTATACATACATATAAAAAATGACACTGCATTATAACATTTAAATTTCAGGTATGCATCATTAAAAATCAATATCTGTATATGCTGCATTAAGTTCACTGGTGAATAAAGGTCCACTTCTATCCTTAACCATAAAATTGACCCCCTTTATCCTGATTTACCCACTGCTCTTCTCCCTTCTTTTTTAGTAACCACTAATTTGGTCTTATAAACTGAAAGTTTATTTTTTGTTTTATTTAGTTAATTTATTTCTTTTGTTTCTCCATATACCACATGAGTGACATTTTATGGTATTTATTTTTACTCCATGTGACTTATGTCACTAAGCAAAATACCCTCTAGGTCTATTAATGTTAGAGATGTATAAATGGCAAGATGCCATCCCTTTTTTAATTTTTATTTTATATATATTTTTACATCATTTTTCATTTTTGTACAATATATGCATTTTCATCTTGGTTATCATCCCCGTAAAATTCACACCCCCCGTGTCCCTTGTTTATAGTTTCCTGTTGATTTTGTTTTTTACTTTATTATAATTAGTATTTTCCTGGTCCCTTATTTAGGTTTTCTAAATTCCTGCTATGAGTGAGACCATCAGGTATTTTTCTTCTCCTTTCTGGCTTATTTCACTGAACATGATCCCTTCTAGCCCAATATATGTTGCTGCAAATGGCATGAGTTTCTTTTTTGATTGCTGAGTAATATTCCATTATGTATATGTACCACATCTTCTTGATCCAGTCATCTATTTGGGGGCATTTGAGTTGTTTCTGTAGCTTACCTATTGTAAATAGTGCTGCAATAAACTTAGGGGTGCAGGTGTCCTTTTGAATTAATGTTTTTGTGTCCTTTGAGTAAATACCTAGGAGTGGGATTGCTGGATCATATGGAAGCTCCATTTTTAGCAGATTGAGGAACCTCCACACAGTTTTCCATAGTGTTTGGACCAGTTTGTACTCCCACCAGCAGTGCAG